GGATCTAATGATAGCACTGTGATTACAGATAACAATATTGGGCTAGACACACTGGTAAGTAGCTAAGAGAGGAGATCTTAAATGTTCTGGCCACAAAGAATAAATGGTAATCATATTCCAAGATGTATGTGTAACAAATCAACACGTTGTAGCTTTAAAGTTACGCAATAACATACGTCACTTATATCTCCACAAAGTTGGGGGATGCAAAAGAGATTATGTCTTCAGTGAGGTAACTCTCCATTTATTTAGGTCTTTAATGTCTGTGGGGCGAATTTTATAATCTTCTCTCTAAAAGTCTTGCTCATTTTCATTACGCTTATCCTGAAGCCTTATTGCAAATGGTATTGTTTTTATGACCTATTTTTCACTGATTGTTGTTGGTTTAGCAACACTGTAGAAATGTAATTGAGTTTTGTATTTTGATTTTGCAGCAACCTTTCTTTTTTCTTCCCAAAAATTGATTGATTTTAGAGAGAGAACATGAGTGGGGGGGAGGGGCAGAAGGAGAAAATCTTCAAGCAGACTCCCCACTGAGCGGGGGACCCAGGCAGGGCTCGATCTCATGAACCATGAGATCACGACCTGAGCGGAAACCAAGAATCAGAGACCTAACCTACTGAGCCCCCCAGGTGCCCCTGCAGCAACCTTTCCAAAACCCTCTATTAATGTCTGTGTACACTCTTTAGGATTTTCTAAGAAGCCAAATACATCTCGAATGGTTTCTGTTTTACTTTTTCCTTTTCAATTCTGTAAGTTTTCCTTTTCTGCTCTCTTGCTGGGCTGACTAGCACCTCCATCACCATGTGGACTAGCAGACGTAGAACTTGGTGTCTTTGGGTTGTTCTGAATTTTAAAGAGAATGTTTTTAGTGTTCCAGCCTTAAGTTTAAGGTTTGCTGTAGTTTCGTTTGTTTGTTTAAACCATCTTTATTATGTTAAGGATATTCTCGCCTACTTGTAGTCTGCTAAGATTTTTTTTTTGGTCATGGATGAATGTTAAATATTATAATTTGCTTTTCTGCATTGATTGAGGCAATCCATGGTTTTCATCCTTTAATCAATTGAGACGGCAGATTACAGTAGATTTTCCTAGAATCGAACTTCTTGATTTTGTTTGTTAATATTTTGTTTAGGATACTTACAACTATATTCATGAGTGAAGTTTGTTAGGAATTCTCCTTCCTTGTACCATTCTTGCTGGTTTTGGTGTCATGGTTACACAAATTGATTTGAGTTTCAATCAGTTAGTTAAGGTGTATTCACATCATCCCTATTACTTGAAAGAGTTTGTGCGATGTTGGAATTATTTCTTCCTTGACTGTTTGGTAAAACTTCCCTGCAGAATCATTTGGCTTGACATTTCCTCAAAAGAAGGTTTTAACTTGTGTTTCAATTTCTTTAATGGGTTTACATCCAGTCAGGTTTTCTGTTTCTTCCTGAGTCACTGTTGGTAAGTTCTATCTTCCTAGGAATTGATCAACTTGTAGTCCTTAAAGATGTTTATAATATCCTCTGCCCCATCTGTGTTTATGTGTCCTTATCCAGTCTTGGTACTGTTTATTTGCCCTGATCAACTTTATTGGGGTGTGTGCTTGGCACAGGGCATGTATAGTGCTTGGAAAAATAATGAACAATTCTCCTATTACAGCATGTTATATACATTATGGTTAGCTATGTTATATACAATATGGCTAATGTATTATTATATCTCGTACCAGTCATTAAGCTACACTGCTGTTTGGGCAGAAGGTGGGAGGGAGGGAGGATTGGCACATCTTCCTGGTGATAGTCAAAGCCAATAACCTAGCCACAAAGGACCATATCAGTGATACAGAGCCTGCAGACCAATTCTTGTCACCACATGGGCCAAGATCTAATTTCTGGATAAAAGACTAGAAAAGTCTTTCATTTTACTACATACCAACTTTGACTGGATCTTGATGATACAATTCCATTTTTTACAGTTACTGAATACATGTATTACTAAATACTAAGTATTAGTAAGTAATACTAAGTACTACTAAATACTAAGAAGATAACCTAAATTTTAGAAGTCTACATATATTCTATGGATCTCAAATCTATTTTGATTTTAAATGGGGGGGAAATCCCCCCAAAACATTTTCCTTTTTCCTGACCTGACCTCACACAAAATGGGTTCTCACTGTTGGACTAAATAATCCATTTATTAGTCAATTGTGGCCTTGCAATCAAGAGGCCTCACATTGGAAACCAAATTTAAAAAGATAGACTCTACATGCCCGAGAATCTTGGTTCAAGGAATAAGAAAAGGTATACATTTTAAGTAGAAAAGCTATTTTGGGGTTTGTCCCAAGAGCCAGGAAGACAAGTAATTCACTAAATTTGTTCATTCATTCATTAATTCATCCATCCGTTCACTATGTATTCATTTAATGGCATGATAATATAATTTATTTGTCTCCAACATCCCTACAAATGACCCCCAGCATTCTGTTTGACTTGATAACTATGATTTATAGATCTCCTTCCTGGGTTATAATCAACACCTTGAATTGCATCTTCCTTCTAAATATAGTTTAGGTTATATTTCCTTAAACATATGTACTACATACTTATCCACATGATGTTCATCTACTATTTGTCCAATCACTCACGCTGCCCACACAACTGGTCTCCATTACCTTGAAATTTTAAGGAGCTGTGGCTGCATGGTGTCTTTGTGCTGTTCCTTTATTTGGTAATCGTAGTTAAGTGTTTAGCACATTAAGGTCCTCAATAAACATTGAAATAATAACAGATTCCATCCTTGATAACCACTGACTTCACAAAATTAACTAGGCAGTGGCCTTTGTATCTCAATATATTCAACACAAACTGTAATTACTTGCTGCTATGAAATCGCTCTGCCAACAACAATATGAAATTGGCTGATTTGGAACCTGTGTCTTAGCTGCACGTCACGCTGTGAATTCAGGCTTATCAGGGTTTGTCTGTAAAGGCAGATCTACTGGCACAGGAAGTCAGTGTCCCTGGGGCCTCAGGCAATGTCCTGATCCCAGTCTCATTCCCTTTGACTTATTCTCTTCCCCTAGTGAAAGGACTTTCACTTCTCCTTTCTGTCTAATAGAAATTCTCCTTACCTAATATGCTCTTTCCTCCCAGCCCTTGCACTTCATTATTCTGCTGTCAGTTTTAAACCCAGTGGGGTGGGGGGAGGGGGCAAGAAAAGATCTCCACTGCAAGACAGTAGAGTTGTGACGGTGAAAAGCAAGAAATAACAGCAGTGATCGCAGGTACTACGAAAAGTGATGTCAGTGCAGGAACTGGAACGTGGGGTGAGAGACAGGGCGACGGGGCCAAGAGGAAGGCTACTGTGCACTGCAGGACATCACTCTAATGTCTCCTCAAAAATTATATTTGAATGGGTGAAACTTGAGGACATTACGCTCAGTGAAATGAGACAGTCACAAAAAGAGAAACACTGTGTGATTCTACTTCCATCAAGTACCTAGAATAGCCAAATTCATAGAGACAGAAAGTAGAACGGTGATTTCCAGGGGCCAGGAGGAGGGGAGAATGGGAAGATGTTTAATGAGTATTGAGTTTCAGTTTGGCAAGATGAAAAGAGCTCTGGAGATTTGAACTTGTAGTGTACATACGCTTTTGTATCTGGCTTCTGTCACTCAACATGTTTTTAGAATTTAACTGTGTGAATCATCAGATGGTTCCTTTGTATGGTAAAATAATATTTCATTGCAAAGATGTATCATGATTTATTTATCCATTCACCTGTGGATGGACATTTTGGTTGTTTCTAGTTCTTTGGCAATTATGAACAAAGATACTATGGACATTCGTGCCCAAGTTATTATGCAGACCTATGTTTTTATTTACCTTGGATAAATACCTACCAGTGGAATTGAATCATGTATATAACTTTATAAGAAGCTACCAAACTGGGGCGCCTGGGTGGCTCAGTTGGTTAAGCGACTGCCTTCGGCTCAGGTCATGATCCTGGAGTCCCTGGATCGAGTCCCGCATCGGGCTCCCTGCTCGGCGGGGAGTCTGCTTCTCCCTCTGACCCTCCCCCCTCTCATGTGCTCTCTCTCTCATTCTCTCTCTAATAAATAAATAAAATCTTTAAAAAAAAAAAAAAAAAAAAGAAACTACCAAACTGTTTTTCAAAGTGGTTGTGCCATGTTATATTACTACCAGGTATGTATGAGAATTCCAGTTGTTCCACATTCTTATCAACAGTTGGTATTGTCATGTTCTTAAATTTTAGCCATTCTAGTGGGTATGTGTGGATTTAGTTTGTGTTTCCCTGATGCCTGATGATGTTGATGTTCATGTGTTTATATATTGCGAAAAGTGTCTCCCAGTCTGTGACTTGCCTTTTCTTTTCTTAACAGCGGCTTGCCAAGAGCAAAAGTTTTTAACTTTGATGAAGTCCATTTTTCAACTTTTTATGGTTCATTATTTTTTGTGTCTTTAGTTTATATTATAAGATACGATCTATTTCAAGTTAATTTTGTTTAGGGTGTAAGGTAAACATCAAGGCTCTTATTTTTCATGTGGATATCCAGTTTTTACTACAAATTTGTTAAAGAGCCTCTCCTTGCCCCCAACTGAATTATCCTGGCCACTTTGTCAAAAATCAACTGACTATATATACATGGGTCTATTTCTAGTATCCTCTAAATTGTTTCACTGATCTATAAGTCTGTCTTTATGCCAATACTACACTGTGTCATCGTGCACTGAAATAAAGTTCTCAGACACCAATCCGGGCAGCCGTGCAGGGCTGCCTCTGCAAGGGAGAACAGCAGCAGCTGAATTCTGCACATAGCTTTTATTTTGTTGTTGTTGTTTTGAATCAGCAAAGCAAGGACAGATGTATCAAAGCATGGCGAAGGAATACAAAGAGATGACAGTTATCTTGAAGCTGGAAAGCAGGCCTGTACCTCCCCTATGCTCAGGCATGCAGGGAGGGGGTTAAGGACTAAGGGAGGAATGGGATGTTCGAGTTAGCAATCACCCGAGGCAGGAAGGGGAATTGAGGGTTATTTTATTTCATAGCTCCTTATCTATGCCCTGCCCCAGGAGATGATGGGATCCTGTTCCTTCCGGGCCATTGCATTCAACAGCCTGAGAACAGGAACGCTGCTGATGTTTCAGCTGCTTCCACAGTCACCCCTTAGGGCTTACAATACACTTTCTAGGAATAACCCCACACACTGTCTTGATTACTGTAGCTAAATATTAAATCCTGAAACCAGATAATGTGAGTCTTCTAATTTTGTTCTTCATTTTCAAAATCACTTTTGCTTTTTGTAGGCTCTTTGCATTTCCATATAAATTTTAGGATCATTTTGCCAATTTCTGCAAAAAAAAAAAAACCTGCTGGAATTTTTAACTGGGATTGTATTGAATCTACAAATCAGTTTGGAGATAATTAACAGTTGTTTTTTTTTTTTTAATTGAGTCTTCCCATCCATGAACATGATCTAACTATCTACTAATTTATATCTTTTAAAATTTCTCTCCACAACATTTTGGAATTTTCTGTGTACAGGTTTTATATATACTTTGTTAAGGTTATCCCTGAGTACTTTATGATTTTAGAAGCTATCATAAATGGTACTTTTATTTGAATTTTCAGTTGTTCATTGTTAATATATGGAAATTCAATTGATTTTTGTATATTGACCTTATATCTTGCAACATTACTAGACTCAATTATACCTAATAACATTTTTTGTAGATCCTTAGGATTTTCTATATACAAGATCATGTTGTCCATGAATAAAAACAGTTTTACATCTTTCCAATTTGTATACCTTTTATTTCCTTTTCATGATTTATTGCACAGGCTAGGACCTCCAGTACAATGTTGAATAGGAAAAGTGAGAATGGACATCCTTGTTTGGTTCCTAGTCTTAGGGAAAAAGTATTCAGTGTTTTGCCATTAAGGGCATTGTCAGTGCTAAGGTTGTTGATATCCTTTAGCAGGGTGAGATAGGTCTTTTCTATTCCTAACTTGTCAGCAGTTTATAACTATGTATTTTTGCCAACAGTTTTGGGTGTTTTTGTTTTGTTTTGTTTAGTGGGAAGGGAGTGCATCAATGGAGGTCTGAGCCCGCTACACTTTGAAAGACCTGTTTACAAGGTTGGCCTTTAGCTGCCATCTAGGGACTTAGATTTCAGGAGGGTTCCCACCATTCCCAGAACTGGTAAGGGTGGCTTGCTGTGCCTGAACTGTTTGTACAAGCAATGTGGTTTATGCTAAACACCTGCTTTCTTAACTTGGAGTCTGGAATCTTGGTATATGCCACATGGTGCCTATGTGACCAGTTCCCAATAAAAACCTGGGCAGAGTCTCTAATGAGCTTCCTTGGAGGACAGCAACTCACAGGTGCTGTCATAAGGTGTTGCTGGAAGAATTAAGCACAGAGAGGACCCCTGGAAGGCTAAACTTATTGTCTTCCAGACTTCACCTCGTTGCTGATTTTGCTGTATATCCTGTCACTGTGATAAATCTGTCATGAGTATGACTATATGCTGAATACTCTTGAGTCCTCAAAATCACAGAATCTGAAGGTGGCTTGGGGATCACCTACACAAATATATAGTTTTTCTCCTTTATTCTGTGAATTATATTAATTGATTTTAAAAATTAAACCAATCTTGAATTCCTGGATATAAAATTAGATTTGATTTGCTAATATGTTGTTAAGGAATTTGCCTCTTATTAATAAGGGATATTGGCCTATAACTTACCTTATTTATAATAATTTTGTCTGGTTTAGGTATCAGAGTAAATGAGCCTCATGAAATGAGTTGGAAAGTGTTACCTCTCCTATTTTCTGAAAGTTTGTGTAAGAATAGTACTAATTCTTTCTTAAATACATGATAGAATTCTCTAATGGAGCCATCTGGGACTGGTGTTGTCAGCTGTTTTAAAATTACAAATTTAATATCTTTAATAGACATAGGCCTATTAAGATTTTCTATTTCTTCTTGAGTCAGTTTCAGTATTTGAATCTTTCAAAGAATTTGTCTCATTTAAGTTGTCAAATTTGTTGGCATTAATTATTCAAAATATTCCTTCATAATCCTTTTAATATCTGTAGGATTTATGGTGATGTTGTTCTTTCATTCCTGATATTGATAATTTGTGCTTTCCCTCTTTTCTTCTTGATGATTCTGGCTAGAGTTTTATCACTTTTATTATTCTTTTCAAATCCCTGACTATTGCTTCCATTGATATTTCTCTGCGATTTCTATTTCATTAGTTTCCACTTTAATGTTACTTATGCAAATGTTTGGTATAATTTGTCTTTTTCTCTTTTAGCTTCTTAAGTTGGAAACTTATTCATTTTAGATGCTTTTTCCCCCGATATATGTATTTAATGCTATAAACTTCCCTCTGAGCCCTGCTTTAGCTAAATGTCAGAAATTTTTATATATTGTGTTTTCACTTACCTTCAGTTCAAAATATTTTCTAATTTCCACAGTGATTTCTTCTTAGAGTCATGGGTTATTTAGAAAGATGTTGTTTATTTTCCTAATTATTTGGAGACTTTTCAGAGATTTTTCTGTCCTTTGTTGTTTAATTCCTTAATTTTAGCCAAGTCCCAGGTGGCAGGGGATTGGTGAAAGTTGGTGCTGTCCCTTGGCTGAAAGCTTCTCAGACACTTAAACTGTTTAATTTACTTAACCAACAATTTTTTTCCTATGGCTCCTGAAAAGGTAAATGTCAGACACACGTTCTGAATTAATGAAATCCTAATGTTGACATTTAATACTTGATATTGTATACTTTAAGCAAAAAATATTCATGACTTTAAACAACCATTAATTTTAAGCTCAACACTTGGGTTCTTGTACTTTTTTAAACTTCTGGATTTTCACTCATATTTAGATCACTTAATTTGAAACTAAAAAAATAAGAAGTCTGAATAGGCAGAGCACAGAGGTTTTTAGGGCCATGAAACCACCCTGGATGCTGCTATACTGGTGGATACAGGTCTTTATCCATTCGTTAAAACCCATAGAATGTACAACGCCAGGCGTGAACCCTAATGTAAACTCTGGACTTTGGGTGATTATGATGTGTCAGTGTGGGTTCATCGATTGTGACAAAGGTACCTTCTGGTGTAGGACACTGACAGTGGAGGAGGCTGGGGGGGGGGCAGGGGACAGAGGGGAATTCTGTACTTTCTACTCAATATTGCTGCAAATCTAAAACTGTTCTAAAATAAAAATAAAGTCTATTTTTTAAAATAGTCATAAGATCTTGTGACATGCTGAATATTAGGTTAATGTTTCATAATGTTTTCACCTTTGTTACTGCTACTGGATTAGAGTCTCGAATCCCATATGATTTCAAGGATAACTTTTAAAAATCCCCCTTAAGCTTTAATAAGCTTGACCATTTTACAGTAAAATAATTTAGGTTAAGCTATATTATTTTAGAAATGAAGCATTTTGAGGACTCTGTCAAGTCCCTGGGATGTGAGTCAGCTATTAAATTAATTATGATCTTAAGGAAAAAGCATCCCTTTTACTACTCACTCATTTGCCTTCCCTGCTGAGTGTATAAGATTAGCATTACATGTGTTGTAGAGCTGCCTCTCCTAGGAGTCCAGTGGAGCTTGGTAAATAATATCAGAACTGAGTCATTTATGGTTGAATGACACAGAATGAAAAATAAATGACTTTCAGGCAGTTCCTGTTGCCTAATATGGACTAAGAAGTAGACACTTTAACTAAAGCGCCCCACCTGTGACCCAAATGAACCTTTCCCTATAAGGATATTGATCTGATTTCCTGATCAAAAGAAGGAATCCAGAAACACAGTAAATGATCTGCCTGGCCCTGAAAGCAGGCCACTTTTCTCTTCCCAAAGGCTTTGTCAATGTAAATATACCACATTTATTCCTCGACTAGCTGAAGGTGTTTTGTCTTGTTTTGAAGAATTACAGTTAAAGCTGCCATTCTATCCTCGTGAAAGGTCATATCGCCCAGCGGTTGTCCAGGTGGCTTGAGTTTATTGCACTGGGAAGCAGAAACAAGATAACTGAAAAGAGACTTCGTATTTAGAACTTAGAAAACCAGGACTGCTATTTCCATAGGGTTTGTTGTTTGTTTGTTTTTTCCAATACAACTCTCCATTCTGCAGTGACTGAGAAGCCCAGAGCAGTGACGTCTCATACAGTTTACACCACTAGCCCCCAGCCTCTTACCTGGCAATAAAGGCGAGATTGGTATATAACATCCTCTTTCTTTGAGAAGTAGGAAACATGAATCGACCTTGACAGCTTTCAGATAACTGAATCAAACTTTAGAAAACCATAAGGAAAAGGGAAACCTTCTCTCTAAGGAAGTGACAGCAGATTCATAAACTGAATGATTCATCAACTGCTTTCAAATTGCAAAACTGATTATGAATCACCAGAGAAAAACTTAAAGTCTCACCAAATCTGAGTTTTCTTTTAAGAATCAACAAATGTACTCTCTGTTGTTCGTGAACATATCCTTATTCACTGACCTGAAATAACCTCTGGAGAAAGTTAAAATATGTCAACTTGTACAACACACTCCTTAGAAATAATTGTTTAAAAACCTTGATTTGGCTCTGGATTTCTTTTGAATGAATCATAGGAGTCTGGATGATAAAAAGGATTATGTTTAGGAAAATGTATTCAAAACAGGCATTGGATAAAAATATAGAAATTTCTTTTGGTAGAAATCTATGTATTTCTGAACCCTTCTTCAGAAGAGTGTTCCCTTGAAAAAAAAGACTCTAGTTGAATAACAACCTGATAAAGGAGGAAGTGACCTTGACAATCATGACTACCAGTTAAGAGGGGAAATGTTCAAAAGTGGAGATCTACAGGTGGTTCTTTATATAAAAACCATTAACAATAGGTGGAATTCTCTCGAGATCAGAATCCATACTGTGCCATTTAAGAATCTACCTTATTCTGTTTCAGAACTGCAGACTAATGGATGACCCTAGAATGCTCCCAAGAAATGATGAATAATGTCCACTCGAAGATTTTAATCATTAACTTCAGAGCAACCTTAGACTTACGTCCAGCTTCAGGAGCAGGTGCAGAAGGATGGTGGTCAGAAAGATGACATATTTTCTAACTGACTAGAAGCTTCAAGATGTTGAAGGTAGATGAAAATAATATTTGAGTGTTGGGAATTTCTTCTCGTGTTTATTATATAAGGGCAGTTTTGCTATCAGCATTTAGGAAATTGAAATATAAATAGACAATAAAAATTTATCTAGACGATGTAAACCTAATGGGTTTTACAATTTGGCCTGAAAATCTCCTAAGATTTGCCTGCTGGATTTCCATGTGATAACCTCGTTGAACATTAAACCCCAAAATGGAGAGGATGGATAGGTGACAAGGGATTCTGAAACCAAACAGCCCTCAGCTCTGAAGTCTGCTTATCAAGAGGATTTTTAATTCCCTTCACTTCGGGGTATAGGTTCTTTGTTTCCATAGGCCCCGATGAGTCTGTTTCTGGCGTCTCTTCTCCTAGAGCAGTCTTGGTAGGGTAGAAGAGAGAAGAATTTACAATCTGAGCACCCGACTTCAGTCCCTGTTCTGCCACTCACTAGTATGAGGTTGGGGAAGTTACTCAACCTATCAGAGCCTCAGTGTCCTCATCTCTAAAATGGGGCTGATAAAACGGCCTCACAAGGTTGTTGTGGTCACTGAATTCGGTAAGATTTGGGACCTTGAGATGTGGGCACCCCAAGAAGGTTCAGCCAGAGTAAATCTTAAAGCTCATGGGAATCCTTATTTTATGTTTGTAGTATTTCCTGGTTAAAAGTATTTTAAGAATCGCAGTTATGGAAGGAGGGGGAATACTTTCAGTGTCATTACCAACCAAGGATACTGGTTTCCAGGACTGGTTTTGTGAAGGCTGCATCGCATGCCTACAAAGGATTCTGAATTCTCTCCTGCAAATCCCTCTAATGACCTTAGAAACTATTCTATGTCAATAAGTAAATTTATTACAGCAAAGAACAGAAACTCTCTCCTTTGTGCTGAAAACAATCTTCTAACCATAGTCACTACTCAACAAACACATGTTGAGATGAGTATACACAGGAATTTGAAGGGATTCCAGTGTTTTCTTCTACCCCTCCAGTTCACTGCCCCGTGGAAAGTGTCCCTCTGCTGGACCACAGGACCAGCCACCACCCTGTCCTGATTTATAGCCTTTTCCTGTGAACTGTTCTCTCAGAGCTAAAAGCAGGATGTTACGCTCATATTTGTTTTACTTCTCCCCACTCACCAGGCATTTAAATCAACTTGGATTAAGAAACCAAAATGTCCACCATGCTTTTTGATCTTTGGTGGAAGTGTAATGGGTGAAACATGCTCACTAGCTACGGACACCTTGCCTTGCTCTTACCTCCAGTGGATGGGGTGGAGGAGGTCACCGCATCTCAGTGAGAAACACAGAACCCGCTTGCGCTTGGAGAATGGATGTGTCTCCCTACAAGTCCTTGGTGGCTCTCATGAGAGTGTGGTATCCAAACTTTTGGGTTCCTTAAAAAAAAAAAGTCATTAAATCTCTGCCAAGACTTAAAAAGTGAAGTAGACGAAGTGACTTCATGTTTGAATGAAAGAGGCAGTTCATTGGGTGGAGTTAATGAGGGCAGAGGTGAGTCATGGAGTCCTGAGTTGTGCATATAATTACAGCTCATTTAGAAATAAGCACGTATGTACATGACCTTTATTCTCCACCAAAGCTGCACAAACGTCCGCTTCCATGCTGACACAGACAACCGATGGAAATAAATTCAAACAGCAGGCGTACAACATCTGATCACGTTCCAGGAGATTAGATGGCGCTGAGCGGATGAGGCGTTGAGAAATACCACGCATACATTAATCACACACCTCCAGAGGTCAAGGTGCCCAACTGACGGCGGCTGGTCTCCGAGACTCTGCTGGCTTGAGTTGATAATAGTTGGCCAGACTGACACGGCATCTCTGAACTTCCCTATTCCGTGTCACCATCTTCCAGTTTCCTGCACCATCAACCCTTTAGAGGAATCTTTGCCTCTTCCTTCCCCTCAATAATCCTTGATCTTTGGATGCCTTTTCATGGTTCACGGTCCCCGGTCCCCAAGTCGTGTTAGTCTTTTCCCCTTAAAATCTCATCCTCGCCCATCTCTCCTGTTATTTCCTATTCCCGATGATCCTCTCCCCTCACCTCTAACTTCCTCCACCCTTCAGTTCATCCTCTACATCATTGCAGATTTGTGTCCCTAAAATGCCCTTTGCAAAGGTCACAGCTGAGCTCAGAGATCACCCCTCCACTGCCTGCAAATGTCTCAGCCTGACTTTCAAATATAAAATCTGGCCCAAATCTGCTTCACCAGGGTTTTCTCCCAGAGCCACCTCGCTCCTGTCTAACTGGCCACCCTTCCGTAACACACCCAACGGATTTCAGGTGGGCCCTTGGCCGCATAATGTCCTCCTCTTGTCTCCCCTGTGCCCGCAAAGCCCTCCCTAGGAGCCTTACCAGGCATCACTTGGCTTTTTTATTTCCTCTACTTGAATGCACTGCTGTCCGCCCCCGTCCCCAGTCATCAGCTCCTCCACAAAGCATTCCTGATCTCTGAGCCAGAAGGAGTCCCCCTGCTGTCACCTCCATGGCACCCTCATGGCTGCTCATGACACATGTCACAAACTGCCTGATTTTATAGTTATTTCCCTGTTAGATTATAAGCTCATTGACAATAGGCACCAAGTCTTACTCATACTTTTATGCCCTGCAGCACCCAACACAGTATATTATCGAAAAATACCTGTTGAATGAATAAAGAAAGCCTTTAAAGGACCTTATCAAAGCAACAGACATCTTGACCCTAATGGACAGAGGTCCTTTAGTCCCATCTTCTAGGCAACGTTGTTCTAATCATCCTGCATCTTTAAGGAAGATCCACGTGGTCCACCTCGTTCTTCATCAGAAGTTGTGCCAACTTATTTGAGATTTCACAGTTTTGTGTGATAAATTCATATGTAATAAGGAAAATAAGTATCATGTATCTCAATTTGCCTACAATGACCCACGGTGTATCTGTTAGAGGTCAACCCTGCCAGCCTTTCGAATACACTGCTCAAAACCACAAATTATTCAAGTCAAATACAACAACTGAGTATGAATAAGGTAGAAAGGTGACACACACACCAGGTGCCAGATCCCGGGCCCAGGACGCGATTCACCTCAACATGCACTCTCTCTGTTCTGCATCCTGCTCAGTGACCATCCCTTGTTAGCAGCATTGCAAAATCCCGGCCTGAAAATATCAGAAGGTCCTGAAATTAAATGTCATTCTCCTCACCACTCATCTCTTTCCAGCTTCACACCAGTCACCCCCATCGCCCACAGTTTTTCCTGTCCATGAGCCTTTTCGGGCCTAAATTCTATGTGTTTCCTATAATAGCAACACTAATTGGTCACGACCGTGGTTCTGTGTCATGCCTGTTTCAAAGACACTCTGAGTACTTTATGACCGTCGCACTTTTAACATGTTATTAATTGACAAAATAATTCCATAAAGTAATTAACAATTATGCTCCCACTGAGGAAACTAAAGCTCAGGAAGATTTACGTAACCAACCTGAGGATATTACAAGGTCAAAATCAGGGCCCGAACTGAAAACAAGGCCTCCTAATTGGTGCTATACTTGGAAGATCCTGCTTCCTTATCTTCCCCCATGGTGTACTCTAAAAGATACAAGAAACCAGTAGCAGAGCATTAAAAAAAAAAAAAAAAGCTATCTTCTAAAAATAACATCACACATTTAATCCCCAACTGCTCAGTTATCTGAACAAGTGCTCTGCGCTCCTATTTTTCCTTGTCTGGAGAGACCTAGCCTGTCTATAAACACTGGAAATGGTCTTTCCCTTCTTCACAAGAGTTTCTGTGCTTCAGTCCTTGGTTCAACAGAGCCTCTCAACTGCTCTTTCTGCTTTGGGTGCTGAGGCGCAGTTCAGGTCAGTTCCCTTCTAAGCTCAAAACTTCCAATTGTTTCTCCCATCCTTCAGAGTAAAAACCAAAGTCCTTATCATGAAGCTTTTCATGATGTGGCCCCTGTTCCCTCTCTATCCTCATCGCTCACTCCTCTCCCCCTCATTCACTACATCCCAGCTCTGCCCTTCTGTTCCTCAGGCACACTCTGGCCTCAGGGCCTTTGCACATGCTCTTCCCTTTACCTGGAATGTGCTTCCCGGGATGACTCAGACGCCATTGAGCACTTTACACAAATATCACCTCCCCAGCGACGCCTTCCCTGGCCACCCGATCTATCATTTTCAGCCACTCTTCTGCCTCTACCCTAGCATGTTCAAGCTCTGCCTTTGCCCAGTTTTTTTTTTCCCCTAGCACTTGACATTATCCCACATATTTTAACTCATTGTTCTTGTTTGTTGTCGCCACCCACTACAGCAGCCCAGTGAATGCAGTTGGGACAGAAACACACGTCTTTGTGTGGGGGACTGCATACATTGTCATAAATGGTTCTGGCTCCCTGGCTCTTTAGGTTACTGCAAAGCACTATGGCAAAGTCACTGGTGGTTTGAATTACTTGAAAACTCAGAATACTATTAATTTCCGGTGAACAATTCCAAGAAACATGGTACTTGGGGAAGAATTAAGATGTTTTCAGAACAGCACAAAGGGCCGCCTGCTGTGGATCTAGGGAAAAAAAGACCATCCTGCTGAAGTCATTTTCCTGTTTAGCAAAACCACAGCAAGCAGTTCGGTGGATATTTTGAGATTTACTGTACTCTGATTCATTCAAAATGAGATTCCACATGATAATTTGTTTCTTTAAAGTGTTTTGGAAGAAAGTCATTTCCATTCCAGCTCGTATTTTTGTTTAAAAAAAAAAAAAAAAGAAAAGCATTTATCATTTCCAAGTCTAGAAGTTACTGACTTTCTACCAAAAAGTTTCCTACAGGTTACTCAGTCAGACTTTTTAAAAAAGAGAGAGAGAGAGATTTTGTTTTTTATTGTTTTGTATTTATTTGTGGGTGTATGTGAGAGAGATTTTGTTTTGTAAAAAAGATTTTTATTTGTTTATTTGATAGAAAGAGAGAACACAAGCAGGGGGAGCGGCAGAGGGAGAGGGAGAAGCAGGCTCCCAGCTGAGCAAGGAGCCTGATGTGGGACTCGATCCCAGGACCCCGGGATCATGACCTGAGCTGAAGGCAGACGCTTAACCGACTGAGCCACCCAGGTGTCCCTAGAGAGATTTTAAATGGCTACCTCTTTCCAACTAAATTAGCATTCATCAAGTGCCTTCCAAGGTGTGTCTTGGAGCAAATTATTGAGCCACACTTTGCCTCATTTTGTGCATGATAAGGGGTGAAGGGGCCTGCGGCCTTTTGTAGATGCCGACTGCAGGTACCCCCTCCACACAGTGCCATTGTGGGGTGGAGGATGGAGGCCCATGCGGTCCTTGGTGGCCCCGGGTAGACGCTGTGCCCTGCTCCCACCTGCATTTCAAGGGCTGTTGCCAGAGGTGAGAGCTGGCCCCACATGCTTCAGAAATGCTTCCTGATGCCATCCCCCATTTGGCAGCAGAGTTCCGGGCCTGTGGTAGCTCCCATTGTCTTCTCACATATTCCCTG